TTATCGAAAACCCACGATTTTATTCTTTCCTTCTTTCTTCTGTTCGCTGACTCCCCTAATCCTCCAACATTCCAAGCGACGATCCTAATGTTACCCATTTAGACCAGAGCGTCAACAAGAGTCGGATGAGGGGAGAGTTGTGGGATGACTGACCTGGTAACCACGGAGAAGTAAGTGACTGAACCATAAAGGACGAACTGAGATTTTTTTCCCTCAACAGTCGACCTTCCACGTTTTGCTGAAGAGAGGGGGGGTAGCTTGATTTTTCGTAGCTCCTGTTTACGGGATTCCGCAAACCAAGCTGACGGAAGCAGAATCAAGCCTTCCCTTTCCAACATCTCCAGTTGACCAGAAACAAATCTGGCATCTATGATCAGGACAAAAAAAATTATGCGCTTACCACCTCCCGATGGATTGTCCGTTATGATCCGAGTCATGGATTGATCAGGAATTAGCCGAAAGAGAAAACGATCCAAAACAGCAGGATGAACCAAGGAAACCATTGAGGAGGGCATAGGCTGTTCCGGTGAAGGGACACTAATCAACATAGGAGAACCGTCAGCCGCATACAAGGTAATTACCCAGAAAGCATTTCGTACATTGGTACAGAATAATGATATAATTTTATTCTTAATATTTGACAATTGACCAAGAGACAGGGTGGTAGGGGTTTGTCTTCGGGTAGTTTTGATACCAGGGGTGCCAATTACCCTAACCTGCGAGGAATCAGAACGAGGGGTGGAGGGCTTTGATGAGTCATCGTCTCGTTGTTCACTCACCACAAAGCTCCCTTCCGTGTCAGGTCAACATTGTTTGCCTGGAGTGATAGATCTTGGTCGTGTCGTTTGGCTGCTTGCTGCTTCTGCTGTTGGTGGGAGGGGAGAACCTCGCGTAACTCCTACCAGGAAAGTCCCTAGCAGGATCGTGGTCGTCGAGGTATTGACACAACATTTTTTACTGGAGTGATAGATCTTGGTTGTGCCGTTGAGCTGCTTGCTGCTCCTGCTGCTGGTGGGAGGGGAGAACCTCACGTAACTCCTGCCAGGGAAGTCCCTGGCAGCCAGGGAAGTCCCTGGCAGGATCGTGGTCGTCGAGGTAGACGTGACTCGAGGATCTGGCATGAATTGTTGACCGCCCACTCCCGAGGGCTCTCTTGATATCCCTTGTGGAGAGAAGAAGAGTGTCGGGGGGAAACCCCTCCCTTGTTGGATCATGTGATATTCAAGTTGTATCATCGCAGTGTTACCTTGCTGATGACTCCAGGGCATAAATGCATGGCCAGTCCAATTCAGCATACCGTAGAACCTCCAGTTCGTCGTCTTCTGAGGTAAGTACCCGCATCTTGTCCTTCATATTCAAACGCGACGCCGGGTCGTTGTGAAATCTGACATTGATTAGCGAGGGCTTTAATCTATCCGGCTCAATGGGGTGGGTTCTAACAACAGGGCTGATAGCCTAAGAAATTTGTGCCTCCATGATGGAAAAGCGAGTCTAGAGGTACTTGGACTGCTACTACCCAGAAGGATTGTAAGTCCTCATCCTCCCGTTGCTATATAAGTTGTGCTTTAGTCAGCCATGGTTTAAATTCCAATTTGTAGGATGTAGGTCCAATCGTGATTTTGTGATGTCCCTTTGTGACCATCCACAAGGCTATTGCCCTGTTTTTGGCCATGTAGGAAACCACGTTGGGGCTTTCGATCTTAACCCTACCTCGTCTGAAATATTCAACCTTGAAACTCCCGTCCTGTATTTTCTCGTCCTCATACGCCCTAACCACGTCATCTTTCACCTTCTTTGGTAGAAACCTAGCTCCCTCTCATAAAATAATTGTGACAGTATGTTCCTTGAGCCATGTGATTTTGATACGATCGATGGCTAAGTTCACAGTGAACCTAACTTCCCTTCTTCCTCCGTCATTTCTCCTGAATCAATGTTGGTTGGTAGTAACCCTTCTTCATAGCACAAACACAAAAGTTCCCTAACCCTCTTTTCATCTTCTCTATCGATACTAGGGTCTCGAGGGGGTGAGCGTGCTTCCCTACGATTGCCTCTTTCATCCATGGCTACTGAAGCCATGGTTGACCACCAACCCTTTAGTCCTATGGAGAACGGAGACAAGTAGAGAAAGTGTTCCTAAGCTGAGATATCGATGCCGTAGAGCTAAAACGCTTTTCACTCGTACTTCTGTGTGGGGGCCGTAACCGGGTGAACGCAGTGTCTCCTCCGAGCTAGGTTGTCCTCGCGGGCAGCCGAGGTTGACTCCCTGAACATGGCGGAGGAGTAAGGAGAAGCGTCTGCCATAGCGTCATCATTGGCGGTGACATCAACGGCCGACAATCCTCGCGTTACTAAGGGGATAGCGCTTGGTCCGAAATGTCACTGCGCTGGCGGAAGCGCTCCGGTCGGTCCCCCYCCCCCCCYCCCC